CAGTGGTCGTCCAGTATAACGAACGCTCGATATTACGAATTTTCGATATAACGAACACCCAAAATATTTACATTGATTGTTCTATATAACGAACGAAAAAAAAAATTCTGCTCCATATTACGAACAAAAAATTTTTTGTTTCTTATTCGTTTTTGTTTTATACAAATTATGCTTTTGAATATAATTTTACTATAAAACTAGCATTATTCAGCTTAGAATATGCATGTAATTGTCCGTTTTTTTTTTTTCTGAGAAAAATGCCTATATATGGCAAAATGCATATATGCAGGCGCCACTGATCTGTTGTTCACAAATTCAGTTTATCATATACGAAATACTATCTAGACATACATATAATATCCTATATTATATTTTCAATTTTATTGTTAGTGTGACATTAGTACATACGAAGTTAATAAATGGAATAATGCTGATAATACCATCGATGTCTCGGACGAGGATGATGGATCTGATGACGAAAATATAGAAGAAAATAATTTAGAAATTATTAAACATAAAGATGCCATAAATCATTTCGAAAAATGCATAAAGTGGGCGATTAACAATAATGAAACTTCAAAATTAGCTGTACTAAGAGAACTACAAGAAAAAGCTGTTCAGAAAAGTCTTGAGTGTAGTAGAAAACAAACAAAAATTAATGATTTTTTTTACTCTACACTATGATTGAATGCGTCCTTTCTTATAAATAATTTTTGTAACAACCGAATAAAAAATACTTTTAAATAAATGTATACTCGTACGTGTTTATAAGTTAATTTATGAACTCAAATATATGAAATCTCCTAAAAATAACCATATTGGTAGCTAAATGTATAACATTCGATATTACGAATTTTTCGATATAACGAACAAGGGGTGCAACATAAAATTCGTTATATTGGACGTCCACTGTATATGTTATACGTAGAGTTCTGCATCTGCATCTGTTCACAACTATTAAATCAAGCGGCAAACTGTCTATAAGTTTCAAATGTCAAAATGTTTATAAGATTCTAGGTGCTAAATTAAATGAGCTGCATCTATACAACTTATCGCATCACTTTCTAAAAGGTGGCAACTCTACAAAAAGCTTAATGTTGGCAATAATAATTCATATCAGCTGTTAATGCATAAGTGGTAGTTGTGGTAGGTTGCTGTTAGTGGGTGATTATAGTGTATTAACAACATATTAAGGAGTTACAAAATTCTATAATTAAATTTTTAACAAAGGTAAATAAAATATAATTTTCTGAATTTAGAGAAAATGAAAAAAAAATCTTCAACAGTTGGTTGTTAATAAAAGGATTCCTTTGAAGAAAGTTGATTGATTTTTGCACACCCCGTGCTCTCATGCGCAGATAAAATAAAGTTGTTAGCCGAGCAAAGTTCAATCGATTAAAGTTTTAATACGAAAATTATAAGACATACAAAATGGATATGGGTCCAGCAAGTAATTATCGTAACGCTATTGTAAATGAACCACTTATTATGCCGCAACCTGTAGCTTCGCTAGCTGGAAATAATCCAACAATGATGTTGCCTACTCAATTTGGTGGAAATATACGGGCATTACCTTGCCCACCTGTTCCACCAACGCCATATGGCAATAACTACAATAGCTACAATAGTAACAATTTATATGGTGGATTTGGCGGATTTGGTTCAGGATTTGGAAACTCATATAGTTATGGTGGCTATGGCGGAGGGTTATTTGGTGGAGGTTATAACAATTTTGGTTCAAATCTAAATCCGTATGATCCTGAAGCACGATTCATACAATTAGCAGAAGCAAGCACTCGGCCTGCTTTTGATAGTATACAATCATTAGTTAGTGCAATTGGTAACATCGCATCTATGTTAGATTCAACATTCTTTGCACTAACAAGTTCATTTCGTGCCATATTGGGTGTGGCAGCGAATTTTGGACGCTTACGAGGAGTATTTGCACAATTCTGGCAAACATTTGCCGTTATTCGTGCCATACGATTTTTATACCGAAAGTAAGTCATACAAATTTTTCTTTAATTATTCGATATTAAAATTTTTTTTAAAAACAAATGTTCTTTAGAATGCTATACTGGCTTCGAATATCAAATATGGATCCATCATCAGAAGCTTTCAAAGACGCTTTTGCAGAAGCCATTAATAATACAACCGGTGAGACAGGTGCACCGAAAGTACCACGCAAGGGTCAGTCACCCTGGCCAATAATTGCGTTTCTAAGTTTTATATTTACAGTGCCCTACCTCATTATGAAAATGCTAGGTACTGTCACAAACACAGCACAGGCCGAAGGTATGTTACAGTATTTTTTCCACATAAGTACCATAATAACTAATGGACTTATCACACTAAATATAAATACAAATCTCAAAAGCTTTATAATTGATAAGATAATATAATCTTGTATTTATATGTAATTGATTTAAAAAAGTTGTATTACCAGTGCATTAAACGCAATGAATTTAATTATTATTTTTGTATACTAATATAGCACGAGTACCTTCCAAATGGATTAAACCTATACAGTCCTACGCAGAATATGATTTTGTTCCAAGAGACCAGTCGGAACTAGCTCTTCAAGTCGGTCAAAAATTAATTATTGCGCCCAAAGAAATACAAAACACACTGGGTTTATTAAATTCAGGTTGGGCTATTGCTTCAACTGATGGTCAAAATTCTGGACTGATTCCTATTAATTATGTTAAAAGTATACAACGTCTACAACAACAACCAATATTATCCCATCCGCAGTCTATGGAGAAAGAAATTCGCTCTACTGATTTATCAGAGCAACAACAAACAAATAAATCTAAAAATTTTCATGTAAATGATGAAATACAAAATTTTACGCCTGAAATCGAAAATCTATCAACTAAAGCATTTTCAAGACCACCCGTTCAACATAATATTAACGCTTCTATACCGGAATTCGATATTGCTCCACAACCAATTGCACCTCCAACGAATTTAGATGTTATAAGTAGTTTGGGTAGTGTTTAAGAAATACTTAAAAAAATGTTAAAAGTTTCATTAAAGAACAAAGAAGTCTTTAGGTAAACTAGTGGGTTTTTTATGGCTTTAAGTATTTTTAGTTTTAAATCGACTTTTTTATTCCAAGTTTAGTATAATATGAATGCAATAAAAAATCTAAGAAACAGTATAACATTTATATTTTATAAATAACTGATATCTCATGTAAGTTTTTAATTTAAAATATCGGTTATCTGTCTGAATAATAATATATTAAAAAAAATTCAAAAAGATGTTTAAATTTTGGAACTTTTAAATTAGAATAACAATTTTAGCAGTTGTTATAAAACAGCAACATATGCCGAAATTAATTGATGCGTCGTAATCATATATGGGCAGGGACCTGCCATACAGTTCTGCATGACATATAGGGAAACATTGCTTAGATAGTTATACTCATTATGCTCTTTTATAAGAAGTATGTCTAATTCAGCATATAGGTAGTGGAGTTGCGATATACGATAGCAACCTGATAATGTGAAATTCGAAGAATTGAATATTGAAGATTAAGACTAAAACAGCAATAGATCGTATTATAGATCTGTATGTATTAGAAAATGTTTCTTTAACATTTGTTAGAAAACCAGTCGCAAGCGCTTTCACCTCGTTGTTACCACGTTTCAATCGGTCATATAACAATACACCATTTGCTTATAATACCAGCATTCGAAAGTATTGAACATCAAATAAAATCGTTCTTCAATATGATTAAGTAATTTAAAAAAGTTTTTTTTTATTTTTGAACTGTGTTTATAATATAAATAATCATAATAAAAATAATCAGCGCATCTTTTAGGAATAAAGTATCCAAGACTATAATCACAACAAAATTCTGGTTGATACTTTATTTTGCTTATATTATATTATATGTACATATATTAGATTGAAAAGTTAATTGAGGCACAGTAATGACTCATACACTATTTAATACTCACAGGTTGTATTTGAGAATATTCAATAACAGTTCAATATCCACCATTATCTAAATTAGTGACGGATGGGGCAATTACATTGTAAAGATTATCAAATAATCTGGCACAAATTCTTTACAGAAAGCAATATTTCCAGCCGCAGCCGAACTAAAATCCATCGTCAATTAAATATTGCTCTCAACTCCTACCGGAGTTTCACTCTATTCTACTCTAAATCTCACACCTCTCCAATCAGTCTTTCTCAGGAACTGAGGAAATATACGAATTGCTGTCATAGCAGAAAGTTATAGGGAGTTAATTAAATGAAATAATTGAATAAAGAATGTTTTCAAATTAAAATTTCAATTAAAACTAAATACATTCTCAACAAAATATAATATAATGCAATATCACACAATGTAAGAAACTATAGTAGTAAATAAAATAAAACAGATATTGACGGCAGACATTTAGTGGTGAAAGAGGAGCATCAGCGTTTCAAAATGAATGGAAGTACACTATTTATACAGATATGTGTTTATTATTATTGCTTTGTGTTTATCATTCATGCTATGTGTTCATTATTAATGCTATTGAAATAGCATCTACTGAAATTATCTGAAGTAAATTTCTAAGTATGAACTTAATTGATAATTGATTACCAATGTATCAAAAAACACTTACCTGTAGGTGGTAACACAGTACGTTAAATTATCATCACATCAAATTTATTAATTGATAAAACTAAGTTTTAATTGCCATTACTTTTCAGCATATTAAGAAATTAAAACAAATATAACATGACACGCACATCCCCATGCAGGGTGAAGTACAATCGACCATTCATATCATGATAATGGAATACATTCTTTAAAATGAGTAAAAGTGATTCCTAGTTGAGTGACTTAAGTGAGTATCTTTAGGTGTAAACGGTTGCAAGAAAAGCAAAATTTTAGAAATTTTATAATGTTCACTTTATTACCATTATATTTGTTATTGTTTATTCATGCTATTATAATTAAATTAGTAATCATAAAATTATATTTAATTCTCTTTATACATCTACTTTTTGCTTAAGTAATAGTTTAATAAAATTTTTTTCCTATGTTCAAATTCTTTTGAAATTGCTTAAAAAATAAAATATATTTATATTTTCATTTTATTTTTGTTTGTTTTAAATTTAAATTATACACATTTTTCTCTTTGTTATTATATAATATATTTTAGTGATCATTATAATAAATTTTTTTTATTTAAATATTAAAATATTATCCACTAGATTTAAAGTTTTATTAATGTTTATTTTTTTGAAATACATTTTAAATCTTTTTTTAATCTTGTCTTCTCTTACACATAATATAATTATAAATAGTTTTTATTTATTAATTAAGCTATAAATAACGCAAAATTAATTAATTTAAAATTTTAATTATAGTGGTGAAATTACCCTAAATGTGTTTTGGATAAACCTATTCTTTTGTAATGTAACAGTTAATAAAAACATATCATATATGTTTCATATATTTAATAAACTATACTTCTCATATAAGATTATTATTTAAAGTACATAGTTTAAACACAAAAGTTAACAAATAAATCAGTAATATATTTTAGTACATTTACGAAGTCTTTTAGTACAAGTAAAACAAAATGATCAGAAATCAATTCTTTCAATATTTTGTTAAGAATCTTTTGTACATTTTGTGTAAAAATTCGAATATATACTTTTTTTAACAAACACAACGAAAATATTAAATAATTTATAGGCAAAAGTTGATTTTTGTATTTTTGCATTTTTGCATAAATGTTTGTTTATGGGATATAAATATTTAGTTGATACTATACATTATTTAAACATTAAAATGTTTGATATATTTTAATAGAATACTTCTAAATAAAAATAAAACAATCGTTTTAACAAATATCGAATATAAACAATCTAAAATATGATTAAAACCACTTAAACCATTAAAAAATAAACTTAAAAATCGAAATCAATTAAAAGTTGCTTGAAGAATTACTTCTCCGAATAAAAGTAGAATGAAAAATTTTACATAGTCAAAAGTGAAATAGAAATGCATTTCCTTTCCTTTACATGTTTTAAATGAATACATTTAATTTAATGTAAACCAAGTAAGGCCGTTATGAATGAGATACTGAATGAATCTTCCGTTGTGTTAGCATCTACAAATCGTTGTGTTTGTTGCAATTCTTGATGTTGAGGCTGCAGCCGTTCTACTTCGTGGTCTGAAGTTTCTAATTTTAACTTTACATTTTCATTTTTAATTATTTTAATCTGATTAAATTCATTATTTATATTCAAATTTTTCTTCTCGTTACTAGACGTAACAATTAATTCTCCTCACTCGATATCGCTATTGTCCAAAAATTCATCATCCTCAAGATCAGATGATTTGACAGCGCCAGTTTGAGAAAAATCTTCAGAATCATTATTAATTTCAATATATGGTGACATATCTCCTTCCTCATCCGAGTCGTATGTTATTCCTTCACCATTTCCATATGCTTAGTAAGTAAACGGTATAATAAATATATATATATATATTTTTTTTATTTTATATAAAATTAAAATTAATAAATACCTTCAATATATTTTCCAAAATTTCTTGGAACCAAACATTTTGCACGTTCAATGTCTTCCTCAGAACACTGTCCTTTGTCTAAACCTATTTGTGTAGACAAATCTATTTTAAACTAATGTTATCGACATTTTTTTGAAGTTACTAACCATGCAATAATCCCATGCGTTTCATAACTTCGGCATCATCGTGCATTTCAAATTTATCATCAAATTTGAATATATATTCGGACCTAAACAAAAGTGTAAATTTAATATTAATAATTATTTAACAAATTTAGTTCTTAATCCTAATCCAACTTACTTGTCATTAGTCACACTGCAATTAATTTTAGTAGACTTGTGCGTGTTGACTATGATAAATGGTATTTGAATCGAAGAGTTAGGAGTTGGTACATTACCAAGATGCTCCGATTCTTTATTTCGTTCTATTAAACTTTTGAATGCAACTTGTTGCATTAACAATTCCCGTAACTGTTGATGTTTTTGTTTGATACGTTCACGTCGTTCCTCATTTTCCTTTTCAATATGTTGAATTTGCTGATTAGAATAAATGTCAATAAATATCTTTATAATATAAAATCACTGCTACTAATCACTTATTTAATAGGTAAAAATTGTAAAGTGCACAAAGTGCACATAAGGAAAATTAATATTTGTTAAAATAGAAAAAAGTTGGAATGAATTTTATAAATCCATTTTATTTATAATAAAGTAATATAGGGCAAAACAAACGACATAAACAGAAAATTTAAAGAATATCGCCTCTTATTATTGAGTAAGTTCTGTACATACATCAATATTGTTTCACCTCATCTTCTATCCTCTCACTAACCTTCAAACCCCCTTACACTTCAAATATCATAGATGAAATTTTAAAAATACAATAGAAAAACAAAGCGTCTAAGGATAAAGTGAATACTATCCTTTCTCTCACTAACCATTTCTTCCAAAATATTGGTCTTTTAATCCATTAAAGTTTTTGTTTTATAGGTCTTTTTAATATGTAATCACTAAAACAAACGCTGAAAAGAATCAAACGTGATCGGAAACTAATCGCTACCGCTAATTAAATGAAAACAATATATAACTACTTAGGTTACACGTCTTGAGAAATCTGTAATATCAAAAACTGCAACATGCAAGAAAGCAAAATTTAATAAGAACCCTAAAATAAACAGAACTGTTATGGAGATGACATATATAAAATAAGAATAGGCAACATATGCTCTCTAAGAATAAATATAATAAGAAAAGAAATATATTCTGAAATTTTTACAAATATAACTTATTTCAGTAAGGAAAAAATTGTATGTTCAACGACATTTGAAACCGAGTAGACAAATATAAAAAAATGGTACATTCAGGTTGAAAATACAACAATTTTGTGTCTCTGAGGTATACACGATATATAAATAATATTTTGTTTTGTAGTTATTTTTATGCTTCTCCGAAAAAAGGCTTAATAATAATAATAACAAAATAAATTAAAATAACATAGAACAAATAAAATAAAATAGAAGAAATAAAATAAAATAAAACAAATAAAATAAAATAGAACAAATAAAATAAAATAGAACAAATAAAATAAATAAAATAAAATAGAACAAACAAAATAAATAAAATAAAATAGAACAAACAAAATAAATAAAATAAAATAGAACAAATAAAATAAAATAGAACAAATAAAATAAAATAGAACAAATAAAATAAAATAGAACAAACAAAATAAATAAAATAAAATAGAACAAATTAAATAAAAGAAAATGAACAATTTAAAAGAAAATTTTCTTCAACTTTTTCAACTATACACGTCAACAGTTACAGGAGGTACTGGGTCTACCCATGGATGTAAAAACGAGTAATTTATACAAATTTTTTACCAGTATTTGCTAGTGAAAGAATTAAATTGATAAAAATTGTTTGTTCTTACTGTTGAAAAGGATATTAAAAGATATAAAACGGAAGATTTAAAATATTGAATTAGTTATTTTAATCGATGATTATTTTCGGATAGCCTTAATTCATATTTAAACTAAATTTATTATCAAAGCTCTTTTGTTCACATACGTTAGAAATGAAATGTATATGGAATCACTTAATATTTGAAGATCAAATAATGTTATATATGAAATAAAAGCTTCTGAGGCTACTTTTCCCATCCAATGAGTGAGTTTATGTATACATATTATTGTGTATAAGAATAACCACATTTCTAGGAAATCTACTTAACTCCTCAAATATACACTTCATTAGTTTTAAGTGAACAGTATACTAAGAATATTACAATAGTTGCTACATTATATTTCCATACAGCTATCAGTTTGATATATAATTTTAAAAAGCCTTTATTTTCTACAAATTACTTCTTACAATCTGATAGGATATAAGATGATAGGATATTTATAAATAAATATTTGATACATTAAGCTCATATAACAACAAATTTTTTTTTAACAAAAGCCCAAACGAGAGTATGAAATATCTTGGCATAATTTTCTTTTGGTGTGCAATGGAATAGGCTATAATGATTGGTTTTTAATTTTTTTTTTGTGGCTTTATATTTAGTGAAATGAATTTTGTGAAAATTTTCTGCAAATTATTGTCGTTTGTCTTATTTCTTACTTTTTTTAAATGAATTTAAGAATAATGTCATATAAATATTATCTTTATATTTATAAATGAGTGAAAAAATGATTTTGTTCCACAAACTCATAAACAAACTTTATGTTCCTAAAATATAAACAAACCTCTACTGAATTTGTTGGTAATCCAATCCAACGTATTTCCTTTTTGTCCTTGGATATAATCTGCATAGCCATCAAAACATTTAGTGCATCATAGACACGACGCCTGATATTCTTTTGATCGCAATTCACTGAATCGTATGAACTGTTCTTGATTTCTTCAGTGACCAGTTCGTCCGCTACTTCGTTGTACGTAGTAGTACCTTTCTCCTTAACTTTTTCACAAACCTTCATTGAAAAATGTCTTAGACCTTTTCCAGCTTTCTCCGGTTTTCGTTTCTTTTGTACTGAGCTATTGGTTGAGTGGGTGGCATGACTGCAGCAAATGTGACGAATTAAAAAGGACATTTTTTTTAAATAAAAGTAACTTACATTTTTGATTTTGATTTTGTGTTACTTTGTGTGAGTTTTCCATATCGTTCCTCGTTGCGTATACCAGACTTAATTGTAGTAAAGAAATAAGTTGAAAGATTAAAGTAAATACATACACACAAATAATAATAAATATAGTTTTTGTTACTAACCAAATGTCCGCTGCTATAATTATCTGTGGTTTCATATTTAACTGCATTGACATTCTGTTGATGTTGCTGTAAATTGTTGTTACCACCATTAGAGTGGGTTCCGATTACTGTATAAGCACCTTAAATTAAAATAATTGCTTTTAGTTATAAATATTTAATGGATTACTTAAATATATAAACTTACTTGTTGATTGATGTACATTATAGCTGTTTTGTATCCTCACAAATTGTGGCTGATTTGAATTCTGAATAAAAAAAGATTGTTATCTAATAATTCTCTATTTATTACATTTATTTATTGATTTAAAGGAAAAAAAAACATTTTAAATTTTATTAGTTTTGAATTATAAAAAGAATGTTGTTTTCATAATAGTTTTATAATAACAAAATTAATATTAATGTGAACTTAATAAGTGAACTTCATCCTGTAATTCACACCAGATGCTACCATTTTGCCCGTATTTAAATTGAACAAAGTATATATATTTTTTTTTGTTAGTGCTTTAGTCCTTTATAACTTTAATAGAACTCCAGATTTAATTACAAAAACAAAACGCAGACTATTTTAGAAACTTAAAGCGTAGAACTATAGTTTAGAATTACAGATTTGTGAATTTTTTCTTTTAATTGCATTACACAACAATTTAAGGTTTTATAGATATAAATTATTCTATTAATTATTTTTACATTAATATCAATGAATTATTTATAGGTCACAGGTCACAACCCGATTTTTGGTTTTAATCAAAACACCCCAAGACATAAACTAAATCCTATGAGTAACACAATCTACATCTCTGACTTCCACGTCACTTCTGTAGAGGTTTCACAGTTTACAAGTATACTCGATCTATACAAGTTGCAACAATGTCAAATCTTAAGCAACTAATGCTTACGCAAAGACTTACTGACTTAGAACCCAAACTGGTTTTAGATTCAATAAATTTTCCTTATTTAATACCTAATAAGCTGAAAATAACACTAAGATTGGAAGAGTAAGACCTATACTCTACCTAGAGTGTATAATCTTCAACTATTCATGTAATTTAAAACTTTTATATCCTCTTGCATTTCCTATAATATCTGCACCATCACTTTCTGTAACAATCAGCTATAATGTATCATTAATAAACAAAGGTTACAGATCACTAGACTTCATTGCCAAACCGTTGTAACCATAATCATATAGCCTGTTAACTGCAGCTTTAGGTGATCCCGAAATATCGACATACGTGGCTATGTTAACTATCCGATACTGTTCATAATTAAAGACAGTAGTAGTAGCTGCCACCCTAGTTTTATGCCTATGATACACAGTAATGTCAGGAACTCAATCAGAATGTGACTAGAATTTTCATCACGTTATCGACGACGTTGGTATTCTGGAACATCAGATAATCTTAAGTTGTTAAGATGATATTGTATATAAAAATGTTTAGTTAGATAATATATTAGCTTCATCAATTCTGTTCAAATTAGAAAATGTGCGTTTTTACTTTAAATCTCGTATTAGCATCGTATCGTATTATTTTTAAGTATTATGATTGATTATGTTACCAATTAGTCACGTCAGCAATCAGTTTACAATAGGTCTCCGGTTTAAGGTTATAAACATATGTTGGTTATAATAAATTTGTCCTTTAATTAACATTACAAACCGTAAAGCATTATCTTTAAAGCAGAAACTAAGACAGTATAGACCGGAAATCTAATGGCATCAACATAATTTTACTTCGTTTTACCTACTATAAATGTTATATATATAATAGTAATATTATATGCACATAAAATATATTATAATGTAATATGAACACAAGCATGAATAAAATATATCCCAAGTTAATATATTTTAAATAATTATTTACAGATGTTTTATATTTTCGTTTTTTTTTGTAATTTAACAAAACATACAGTAATAATAATTTAATTATACGGAATTTTTGTATGCGATATTTTTTTAAGAAAGTCTGTTATGCAAGGACAGTGGTACAAGTTAACCTATAAGATATATTATGTTATCTATATGTTGTTATATATATATTTACATACTAAATATCGGAAAGTTAAATTTGTTTTTATTGTATATAAACCTTACCTTGTGCGAAAATAATGTATCAACAAATAAATAGTAGTTTCCCTGATCTCGAGTAAAGAGTTCGGTATGTGATTAATAATGCAAAGCGGTAAGAATAAAAAAAACTTACTAGGAATAAATTTTTATTCACTGGTGCTTGATAATATATTATTATACTATTGGTAAATAAAGTCGATCATATTAATAAAATATCGCCACTTCTAATTTAAAGAACATCTATGGTAACTAAACTCTTATACCCACCCCTAAACCCTATACTCCCTTATACCCCTACAATTACAAATAAATGGTTTAATCACTAATATTAAAATTGTATTTTTTTATTTATAAAAATATTTTAAATTAATTTGTAATAGTTTTAGGTTTAAAAAATGTCTTTAATTGACTATAATAATTAAAACAATTAACAAACTCAGTAATTAAGATTAATATTTCACATAGTTTTAGTATGTGAACATAAGCATTTAAAAACCTTAGTTTTTTTTTATATTATAATACAACGGGCCATCAGACCTAATCGATCCCAAGGATTTTTGTGATAACCTATTACTTTATTGATTGGTTAAGTTACTCAACATATGTAGTTGGTTTTTATGTGGGGTCATGTAGCTATATAAATTTAAATTATACATAATACCTTATAATTATATAGAATTTTGTAATATTTATATATGTATATATCAAAACTTCCACATATACAATATGAAGATATTATTAATGAGTTAAAACAGGTTGTTATTTTTGTATAAATTTAACTCTAACACTTAACTTTTGTGTAAAATATTCGTAGTACTGCAATTACTCACCATTTGACTGAATGCACCCATATTGGAACTGGCGTACACCGTTTGTTCTTCAGAGGGTTCCTGTTTGATATCTGCCTGTTTCAACACCTTCAAAATTTTTCCTGCAAATATAATGTACGCATGTAAACAAGTTTTACAAAACTGATTTGTAGAAATATTTTCCTCTTTGTTTTTGTTATAAATATATATTAATCAAATAACTACCTAAGGCAAACGCTGTTCAATAAGAGTTTTTGTAATTTTTTCAATTTGTACAAATGTTTTTCCAAACTTCACTTGTCAAAAATGTAGAAGAAAAATGTTTATAAGTAAATACCGCGCACTTCCACTGCGAAAACATTAACCAAACTAAATTCCCACACTTCGTCTTAGGGTTGCAATATAGCAAATTTAAGTAAAATAGTTTAAGTGGCATATCATCAATTCTTGATTCGTTCTTGACTTGATTTGTTAATTTTCATAAAGATTTTGTAAGAACTTTACACTGCTGTTGCCAAATTATATAAAAATTTATATGTTCTAATTATTATATTATTATAGTCGCAGTTTCCTATAAAAAGTTAATATTATATTTTTGTTATATTGTTAGTTGTAATTTGCATTTTGACCAGTTCAGTAATTCATTAAAAAGTTAAATCATTATACCTATATTAGAAATTAGAATTTTTAATTATAACTAGCATTTAATCAAAATCAAATCAAGTATTCATATATCATTTATATTATGGTTAATACTTTTTGAATCCATCGTTTTCGATATAGTGCATTCAACGCTTACAAGAATTTAATATGTACACTTTGTAATAATATAAGCCAAACCAAACAAAAACATATATGTGGTTATACTAAATAGAAATTTATGAATGCTATATATTTAAAAATTATTAGTGTTTCTACTAACTGATTTGTACAAAAAAAATTAAAAATAACGAAATGGTTATTTTGTAATTAAAGAAAATAAATAGTGTTATAGTAACAGAAAAATAGAAATAAAAAATATTTTAAATTTATTATGACATAATATATAATTAAATATAATTGAGCTTTTTGTAAACTAAAGTATAAAAAAAAGTTTTTAAAATATATATTAAATGCATCTACTACCTGAAGAATATTCAAATGTTTATATAATAATGTAATAACTAAGGTTTTTATCGTTTTTATATATAATGCATATCAAAATAATGATTGGTATAAAAAATTTTATACTGCGAATCTGAGGTTGTAATCAAATCCTATTATAACGGAAACGTTACTCAATTATATTTAACTCCATATTAAACATTATAACAAATTAAAAATATTTCAGATTATTACATTTTTTATTAAATAAAAACTTCCAAATAAATTTTTAAAATTATTGCGTATCTGAGCTATTAAATACCACGATATCAAAGTATTAGGTCAAGGCGTTATTCGCTACTTAATAAAACAATAGCTGATTCTTTTTACTTTAAATATCTTAATAAACTAAATACTGCTTAATACATTAGAACTTATATATCCTGGTTTCAGTTTTAGCAGTTGGTACTTTTTATGGTTCATTTATAATTTAATCAAAAAGTAATTGAAACTTGGGCGGTCAGTGAATCACTTTATATTTTAGGAAATAAATAATTTGATCTGAATATCCAAAACATTTTTAGTTTATCGAAATCCCATCAGCCTTTTCATTATATATCACTGTATCTGTCCCACTCGTAAATATATACTAAAATTCATATATTCTAATAAGTGATTATAAATTTGTAAAATGTTTTTTTGCAGCATACAAAATAAGATACAATCATTTAAAAAAAATAATTTCATAACATTTTTTAAAGCGAATATACTTTTAACATTTTAACCATAAATTCGTAAATATGTGTATAAAAATTCTCTCTTAATACAAATCATGTTAAAATATTAAAAGTTATATATTAAATTTCTAACATAGTACCACATTCATACTTTTATAAATCTCCACTCAGTTGTGTATATTAATAAAAATGGAAACACTAAAGAAACATTTGTAGCACAATTTTCTATAGCACAGTACTTATTTACGTGGCGGCAATGGCGGCACAATCGCTTCTCTTATTTTCCTTTATATTACTTCTTCGCATTTTATTTTTGTTGTAACACACTGCAAAATGTCACGCAGTATTTTTTGGGCTTTTATTTCTTTACTTTTTACTTTTATTTTTAAATATATTGGATTTAATCGAGCCACCCGTTTACCCCATGCCAATATAATGTATATAGGGTTTTTTTTTATGAAAAATGTTAAATAAACACATAGTCTAAGAAGTTAAAAAAAATAACTCTAGAGTATTAAAAATCGTTTAAAAAATAATAGTCGAAGAATGGATATAACTATATCTATAACATACTACCCATATGTATATTTTAGCTACTGATAGGTAATATAAATCTAGCGAATTTAAAAAAAATGAGATTGAGACCAGTTACATTTAGTTTGAAAAATAGTTCTCCTATTCCTCACAATTATAAGTAATGTCCATATTACTTATACAATACTTAATGAATTTGTGTCCCTCAAGGAGTTGATTTTATTTACGGAATTAAATTTATATAATTTAAAACTGTTCGATTTTTTGGTATTAACTACATAACCATTTATATAAGAATTGATATATGATATAATCTTAATTTATATACTTCGCAAGTGAGATGCTTTAAGCTATCTTATCATAAATAAACTTGCAACCTAAAACGAATTTTCGACTTTTATGCAGTTTCCACTAACTTATCGAATTATTAATATATACTAACTATTAGCAATTTACTATATTCTCAACATTCAGAAAGATGTAACATTTATTAATACAACGTTAGTGGTTGTATATTATCTAACAATAATATTTTAGATTAGAGATTCTTTATGATCCTCAATATTTTATAATAAATTTCTAGTACTCCATCAGAGGGTAGAATTATTATTTATGAATTACAATATATATATGAGGGATTAACTTTAGTGTTTTACGTTAAATTTCAATTGTCAGAATTGCTCTATGACTAAAAAATGTGAGTCTTACATTATAGTTCAAGCTTATATAGTTTATTTTTAAGGAATTGTTTTTTGGATATTTTATAAATGTTATAGCAAATGAAACTTTTTATTTTAGAAATATTTTATTCTTAAAAATATTTAATTCAAACGAATTAATTAATGATATAACAGGACTATGTGAAGTGTTATACTCAAACAGTACTTGCTAAAAATGTCCTTTGTAGTTTTTAATATATCAAAAAAAAATTACTGAATGATTTAATAAATATATTTTACTAAATATTCATCGTATATTTTAACTTGATTTAGTCTTTCATTTCACAATTTTTAGAACTCGTTAGCTTAGTTATTTTATTAGATATCTCTCCATTTTATATAAAAGCAGAAATAACTAAAACTTACTTCCTTTTCCGCTTTTTGTTTTCTTTCAATCTATTAACATTTCAAGTCTTTTCATATACACCCTCTCGGAAATTCTTGATCAAACATCCAACAAAAACAATACACCAACACATTAAAATTTTAACAGAGTTACACACAATGTGTGAAGCGGAATGAAAAAGATATGATTTCCAATAGCAGGAACCAACCGATATCAACTTATAAGGATGCTGGTTAAACTTTGATTTCATATTTAGGAACCCCAAGAATTTATGTAACTTACCATTTTCGTCCTGGAAAAAATAGTTGATTTCACCTGCCGTGAATGCTGATGAAGAGTGCGCCATTTTTTTATGATGGTTTACCGCCTACGCGCACGGATAGTGGTGCTCGGCACCGACCGTTTTCAACGCGTAATTTTAGTCTTACAACTAAGGCAATACTTCTTTTTTTATTTTCAATTCGAAAAATACGTCAGTTAACTTTTTCTAGATATTTAACTAAAGCGGGAACACCTTCCAATATGCAGCACTCGATTCTAGTTACACGACTTTAATAATTTACTTTGCCAAAATGCTTTGATTTGTATTGATTATTATTATTAAATACGATTATTTAAATAAAATATTATTCACGTGGATATCTTAAATAAATTGGTCGGCTTTTATTACTTTTTATGAATTTCCTTTTTTTATATTTTTCGTGATTTCTTTGCAGTCTAAATTTCAACTAAGTTAAAAATGGCGAGAGTATTTTTCTATCAAGGGTTTTAATGCGAAAAATACGATTTTTTACGGCCGAATTTACTATACTTGCACTAACCAGATTTTTATAAAAATTATACCAAAAAATCTAGAAAAATTTAAATTTTACAAATATTTAAAATTTGTCCACCTCACATTAGTATAAGTTTATTTAATAGAAGCCTGAATTTTCACTAAAAATGTTCCGCGATTGTGATCCGTCGACAAATGAAGAAAACGAAAGAGAAACGAGAGTAGCGCAGCGGCCGTAAAACTCAGCTGATTAGAGCGCGCGCCAAATCAACGCCAATCAAGAACGCAATGTTGCAAACACAACAAAATATTTATATGTCAAATTGCTTTAAATTTTATCGTAATATATACGTTAGCCAATGTTTTTTTTTATATAAACAAGAATCACATTTAAGAAAAAAAATATGTGTATATAAAATATTATGTAAATAATTCTTTTAGTTATATAGCATTTATTAAATCTTATCTAAATTATCCCTCAAGATATACATTGCTTAGTGAAACATTGAAACACTGCAACATTGTTTTTACGTTATTAATGTTTATGAATGAAGCTTCATACATTTATTTCCTGAACACCTATCAAATGTAGATGGCGCGCATTTCCAAAACTGTTTTATACAGGAGCAATATGGAAAGGGATATGTAATAAAATTATATATAAGAAAGGCATGTAATTTTCATAATACAATTTAATTATTGAAAACAAAAAATAAATAAATTATAATTTGATTTGATAATTTTTTAAATCAAGGATTCATATAGTATAAAGTCTTAAGATTCGCGGTGTACAAATACATATGTATATCTCTAGAATTATTAAGTCTCCATTTTTTTATTATTTTTTTCTACAATTTCAACGGGTTACGATATAGTTAATTTTATTTTTTAGTATGTTAGGTTAAGTTAGATTGATACGGCGTATTTTGATAAACTCTCCATTTACACTTGGTGACATCTATTCTTTGCTATAATTTTACTAACTTGTATTTGTCTAGTTCTTTTACGATTGCATATATCGTAGACTAAAGGAAGCTGCAAGTGTCTGGTAGTCTTTGTGACTGTCTTATCTCCATATATTGTGTGTTTATAACCGCTTCCGTTCCATTCTCTATTATAGAATTATGTATACAGATGATTCCCGTATAAGATTTCAGTTTATTAAGAATAAATGATGAGTTTTTCAAATTTGTTGGTTTCCGTTGGAATGGAAACCATTCCAATAGGGTAAAGAATATGATTAGGAATGAGAAAGAAATATAAGTATCTTGAAAAGCATTTGTTCAAAATCTTTATAACATCTTTATAACTAATCATAAGTTACGAAACTACAAAGGTTGTTAACGGGTTTTATTACGGATCATTATGGTCTGAAATATCACTTACATAAATTTCGATTATCTGTTAATTCGGAATGCAGATTATGCTTCGAAGATGAGGAAACAACTATGCATATTCTTTGTGACTGTCTAGCGTTAACAATGCACAAAAGAAACTTATTTCATATAGAATTACTGTCTCCTGAACAGATTAAGAGCTCTTCTTCAGATTTAGTTCTGGACTTTGTTCACAAAGCTTTAAAGGTCCAGCTGTTGGGCGATTTCACGATAATAATTTTAATAATTAATTAATTAATAATAAATATACTTATTACCTTCCTAATCACGTGGATTCTGTAACAGTCTATTAATAGCGGTTTGTCTTGCTTTTGTCAACAGCACACTAAATAAAAGTACTTCGTTGTCCTTACCTTCTTTAATTTATTTAATGTATTTGACTTAAACGATTACGATCGATTTTGTCAACCTGACAATCTTTTTAACATAGCCATTCCAATAACTAGATACTTCCATTTCTTGTATTTAATTTTCTGGTTATTCTCTGAGATGATGGATCCACTAAAGCACTACATTTGATTTGTTTTTGGTGTCCGTATATATTCATATAAATGAAATGGCAATACGAATAAATGGATTGAGATATGAGTGGATAAGGTTAGGTTGAGAAAAACGGTTGTATGAGATATGGGAAGGGAAGAATGTGGATAGATGTAAATTGAAGCTAGCATGGTTAAGGTGAGGAAATCTGACCACTCCAGATCAGATTTACGACTTTCAATATAACGATAGTCTGTACAATATAAAAAACGTACTTGAAGTTATCTTACTAAATCTTTTTTTTACATAAGATAGCAATTTCTCACCTACAAGTTGGCACTGTTATACGTTATCGCCCCTACGTTCTGTTATTGAAGTCCTTTTGTAATTCTCAGTATATATGTCTATATTGCGTACGAAACATTTTAAATATATAAAAATGATCCCATATAATTAGTCTAATCCCAAGTAAAAGAAATATATTAGCTAATAAATATTTTTATTAATAAACTAAATACTGGGATTAAATAAATACTCAAGTGGAAGGTTGTAAGAATTTGTGCTTATATTATTTGATAATGGTACTTCATCATCAGAGCAAAAATCTTCGTTGTCCATACCAGTACAGGATTCATTTTCCAGTTGCTTTTCACTCATATTCTCAATTTGTTCTGGTCCATCAGCATCATCAATTGCAATATCTTCTTCCTCATCATCACTTTCTACTATATTTTGAGGTTTGCCCGATTTTCGTTTTTTTAAACTTCTCTTGGATTTCTTTTTTTCTGGTATTTTACGATATTTATTCCAAAATGCTGCTGGTTGCGCGTAATTTATTAAATTTGGAAAACGTTTCGCTAAAAGAATGCACAATTCATCAAAATACTGTTGCAAGCCAGCATCAGCCTTATAAATGCAGTTATAGATAGTTGGTATAAATACTAAACATTTTTCAAGAATATTTATCTAAAATAAAACAAAATAAAGTATTCTCAATAGACATATCTTAAATTTAATTTCTTACAGCGTCGACCATTGTAATAACTTTATGACGTTTGCGTCCACGCTCAACTTTTGCATTTGGAGTTGATGATGTACCTGGTTGCATTTCTAATTCCTCCGGACATTCATCATCCTGAACCTCTTTTTCTCCTTTATTATCATTGCTTTTTTTATGTTCTTTTGCTAAGCGACAAATATGTTTCATTATGTAAAGTACATCCTTAACTAATGCAAGACCATTTTCCGTCCTCATTAAAGGATCCTTTTGACATTTATCTGCAAATTAAATTACATGAAAATGACATTTTATATATAGACATTGTTTTATACATTTAATACCTGCTATTAAGTTCAAATTGGTGAAATGTGATATTAAATATGGTTCCTGCATGCCTTCCATAAAATACTTATAAAGACTGTGTCTTCGCTTCCTATTGAACTCACCCTTAAGAGGTGATTTGGAACAGCATTTGGTAAAACTATCAAGACCTTCAAAATTCTATGGAAAATTACAAAAAAAAATTATTATATACGTTGCGTTTAAACTATAATATAACATTATATATATGTATATTATTATTATAATACATTATTAAAAATATATTATATAAATCCAAAGGAGTAGTACTATGTCAGGTATACATATTTTCAATTGATTTTAAATGCCATTTTCTCAAATGATGCAAAGAATGCCACTTTTTTTTATTCTAATAATATTTTCTTTTTAAATTATTATAATAATAATAAACAAATAATAATGTAATAATTCAATAAAATTAACACAAATTATGTTTTATATACACTTTTGTTTTGTTTATAGTTTTACCTTATACTCATTTAACACGAACGGACATTCAACAAGGCATTTTTGAAACAACATTGGATTCTTTGTTTCTGTATAATCTTTGAAAAAGTTGCACGCGTAAGCAGCTAAATCCTTATCGTTATCCAATATCACAGACAGCAAAGCTAAAAGTAATGTACCACGCAACTTCAACTGATCTTGCAAAATTAATATTTCCAAACACTTGAATGTTTCTTTACGATTAACTAAAAATACTGAAGATAGTTTCTGAAGTAAGTGTGGCAGAATGCATTCTACGGTTTGTGTATGTTTTTTACACAAATCAGTTATCGACACTATAATTGTGTTTACAATTGAAGGACGGTCAATTTTTATCAATATTTGAGCATACAATTTGCATGTATTTGCAGCTAAAATAGGATCGCCAAGAGAAAATCGCGCTGTGATTATAATCATTGAGTTAAATACTCGTTCATTTTCGGATCCGAATTCAGCTTCCGGTAGTTTTAGACATTCTCGAATAAATTTATGCATAAAATTAATTAAAATCGATGGTGGACGTTTGGACGAAAGCACATTAACTTCCGAATAGGAATAAAGTTGTGACAATAAAATAGCGCGATTATCTGGAAATTCTTTTATACCTGAAGTAATTCTTTCTTCAAGCTTATTATGTAAATCAAAAATCCAATTCGCAATTTGATTTGATCTCGCCACTGAGTCTTTAGAACTAGCTTGAACATGCTTATCGATGGCCATTAAAAAATTTAAAGCCTTACTAACAATAATATGATGCACCTGACCATTTAGGATTTCTGATTGCAAGTGTTGAGACCAATAGTTTAATGTGGGTTTTGTGAAATCTTGAACACAATTAGCAAGCACTTCAAAAGCAATAAGTTGAGTTTGTTCCTTATCCCACTACAATTTGTAAAAAATTATTTTTAAAATAATGTTATTGTAGAAAAAAAACTTACAGGCTCAGCTGCTGTAAAACAATGAAGTAAATTATCAGGTTCCTTATTTTTAATTTTTCCTGATATAAAATTAAGCACAACCCAAGCCTCTATTTGAGTTGAATTGGCAATCATTAAGTGAGATTCTATAATACTTAGTATTTTTGTACTGAAAATAAAAAATTATCTTTATTTATTGCTATTTCTTTAAATTTTCATTCTGTGAATATTTACTTTATCATTTGTTTTTGCAGTGCTGCCTTAAAGCAGGTTTGCAAGTATAGACGAGATTGTGTTATTAAAAAAGTTCTTATAATAAGCCATGGCATGAAGTGTTCTGCTTTGTTGGACTTATTGATAACTTCCATATTTAGCAAAACTTTGTTTTGAAAGCACTAAAAATGATTAGTTGAATAAAGCATTTTTTTAAAAAAAAAAGTAACAAATATGTATAATTACCTTCATTGCAATATCCAAGTTTTTAGGATCATTGTCACAAAACATTGGAGATATTATTTTGCACCATACCCAAATAATAGCATAACAGTTAGGATACTTTTCAAGAATATTATCTATTGATAGCAAACATTGCCTACGTACTAATATGTTAGGCTCGTCACACATTTCTGTCATTTCCTGAAAGCAGAAAAGGGATGAATCAAAGTAGATGAAGCTTACTGATACGAATTGAGTATGTACTTACTGATACGAAATTAGTATTGTAAATTATTAACGGGTTAATTTTTACAATTTGTTCTAAAAATGAAACTCCAGCACGCCTTACATATGTCAGTTTGTTATGTAAAATGTGTGTATAAATAAGTTTGGGTAAATTTAAAAAGGACAATTCAAGCGTGCCGAAGCCTTCAAAAGTGTAGTTTGGTGTTTCAGGTGAAGGTTTCTGGTAACGTACTTCATTGTGCAATAAACGGGGCTCATCTGGTAATTTGACATCAGTGTCATAATATTGTGTATATTTTAAACACTCAATAAATACTGTTTGTGCGGTCTTGGACCCTTTATTTAATATAGATTGCAGCGCTTGCATTGCTTTTGATTTTATATTATTATTAACATCTTGAAGGCTGTCAATCAGTTCTTTAATAAGATAAATTTCTCTTGGTTCATTAAAAACGTCATTACGAAATATAGACCAATTAACTTTCGATTCTATTTGAAGCATGCGTGATATCATATCAATTGTACGTGAGCGTATTAACACTTCATCAGAATAGATTGCTTCGCAAAGAAAATCAATGCAAGATTCATTGCAATTTATGTAGAGTTCCGAATCATATTTGGCTGCATAGTCTAAAGCACGTTGTATTTGTTCATTTTGCCACTAGTATTTAATATATTATTAAATATATTAAATATTTTTAAAATTTTATAAAATCTTACCGTTTTAATTGGATTTGTAATTATACATTTAATATAAAAATTTAGAACATGACTCAATACGCGCGGAAGGTTTGTTATCCATTTAGTAAACCATGTAGATATGTGTTCACAATTTGTTCCATTGATAGAAAGTGAACCTTTAGGTTTGGAAGCATATGTATGCAAATTAACTGACATGTTCAATAGTTTCATCAAAGTTTCCTCTGGTGGACCGTTATACTCTTTAATAAGTTCATCATATATATCAAAACATTTTGTGTGTATATTAGCAGCACCTAATGTAAAACCATTTTAAGTACAATTTCTGATTGATTATAAATTTTTATTATTTAACAAACTTACATGCATTTGAATACCCATTATTAAAATGATAGTACTGTATATCCAATAATTTTCTCATAATGCCGTTTCTAGTTGTTGCATGTTCATTAACATGTACCCAACGCAATATTATTTTCAAATCATCTAACAAAGTTGCAAAATTAATTAATATTTCTGTGGCACCTTGAAACTTAATTCCAAGTGTTTGTACACGTTCAACTAAATCAAACACTTGTAAACAGTGTGCGATGACCTCTGCATCAAATATGTGATAACCATGTGATCCTGGTATTGTTAGCGAATAAAAATAAGTATTTACCACGAGTAAAGATAATTTGTAATATATTAAATTAGGTTCTACATTAGCTAAGCTTGCTAATGCGTAAACAAATGCCAAATAGGGTTCCCGCGGACAGTCTTTAATTACTTCGTCCCATGTGTCGTACGCATTACTATAACTTTTAAATGACTCTTGACGGAGTATGCGAAATGCGCTACATATTTCTAACAGTAATGAGTTTATTTGTGGATTTTCTAGTGTATGTTTCACCAATGGAATTGATATTATAGCACACTCTGCTCCACATTCAATGGTTTTGTTTTTTTCATTAGTATTTTGAGTGTCAACAATTTCTGCTATTTCCTCCCATGTCGAATTTGGTTGTAAGAACTTATTTAATTGCTTAAATAGTTGCAACAAATCAGACATTTTTAAATATAAAAACTAGTTATAATATTTTTCACATTGGCTTGCCGATTTATGTTTACAATTCGATTATGTTTTGCTCTTAGTCTTCGTAGTTTCAGATGTTATTTCAAAGGATGCCACTTTTTTTTTAAATAAAAAATACTTGTGTATACACAGTGCGTTCCACCAGCAAATTTTCGAGTATATGAAAGCATCTGAGAGAGCGTAACATTCCTGTCGAAATTTGAAAATGCTATACAGACCTTACTCGTACATTTTATTTCAATTAAAATTTGTGATGATGTTGAATCAGCTGTTTTGGTTTGAATTTAAATTTTTGCAGCACCAGTGCAGCGCAAATAAAAGACTTTACACAAAGCTGTTCCATGAAAATCTGTATAAAGAATGTAATTTGGCTTTTTATTTGTGTTACGCTCTCAGTTTGTACTTTACTTGTGTTTTATTTGAGTTTTACTACAAGTAGATCGTGAAACAGACATAATATATACCATTTGTCACGACAAATGTTATTTCCCAGTAGGCGAAAGTATCGATGCATCATCGATACTGCATCGATACTTTAGAATCAATCATCGATGACACTACGATACCGAGTAAATGCATTTTTTATGCGTTGCATGTTATAGAAAAACTATCGATGGTTTATTGATACCTAGTTATACTTAAAACCAACATTGCGTTGGTGGTTTTATAATTGTGTAGTGAAATCAATATAATTTTGTAGGAGAATCATTATTGCTTTCTTTACCGCAAAGCAAAGAATCAAAAAATTCAAATAAAATCATTTATATTTGTGCAGAATATATGTAAATATATATATTTCATTATAATGTATATTTATTTTAAAATGGTAAATTAATATATATTATATGTATGTATAAATAAGGAGTACAAAGAATTATATATAAAAGAACACACAAAATTTTTACAAAATATTGAGGTAAAATACAGCACCCAAATATACTTCAAGTTGTTTGTACTATACGTTACGAATAGTATGTAAATAGTATTAGATTGGGTATATTTTGCAACACTGTACTGTGAAGTTAACTTGAAGTTAACGAAGCAATTGCGGTGCCAGGTTGTTTGACATTTTGTTATAATTTTTTGCCATTGCTGAAAGGTTATTGTTTTTACAGTCAACTGGTCTTAATAACTGTTTGCTTTAATATAAATTTTATGAAATTTAAAATGAAACTGTTAACATTAAGTAATGAATTCCAAAGAATAAATAACACTTAAGTATAGTGCAGCACGTTTGGTCAATTATTGAACTGAAGCACCACAACAATTACTCACCCCTACATCAGCGACGTCAGAGATTAAAAAAAAACATAAGTAAAGGGGGTAACAAGTAAAACTATTTTCACACAAATAACATAATATATTAAAGACAAGAAATCATGATTATGATGGATCCTGTTGAAGCTATGATAAATTATAATGTACTTGAAATAGTGTTTTCTTACTTGGAGTTGCGAGATTTAAGGAATTGTTCATTGGTGTGCAGAAATTGGTTCAATTTTTTAAACGATGAAAATAGTGATGTTTGGCGAACCCACTGTATCCGGAAATTACCAGAGGAAGCTTTAAAATCAGATTTACTAACATCAGTACCCACATATAAAATGAAACTACGCGCTTTTTATCATGCGTGGAACCCGAATGATTGCTCTAGAAATGTATATATAAAACCGAATGGATTTACTTTACATAGGTTTGAAATATATAATTTATTATTGTGCAATATATATTTATGTGATATTTTTCATAACAGAAATCCTGTTGCCCAAAGTACTGATGCAGCCCGTGGTAAAATTGGGTTCCGACAGGGACGACACACTTGGGAAGTTATCTGGGAAGGGCCACTAGGTACTGTTGCAGTTATTGGAATATCGACTAAAGAAGCAGCTTTGCAATGTCATGGATATGTTGCCCTATTGGGATCTGATGATCAAAGTTGGGGTTGGAATTTGGTAGAAAACCACTTGCTTCATAATGGAGATGCACAAGGCAGTTATCCGTTATTAAATAATGCACCCAAATATCAGGTATTAAAACGTTTATCTGGTTAATGTTTACAACTGAACTTATTATTGTTTAAAGGTTGGCGAACGGATACGTGTTATATTAGATTGTGATGATAATACGCTATCGTTTGAAAAAAATTATGAGTTTCTAGGTGTTGCATTTAGAGGTAAGTGTAACACAATTACATAAATAATACGAACAGATATGTAATTCTCACACAATTTGTAATTGTTAAATAAGAAACAGCTCTGAGCTATTAAAACAACGAAATTTCTTGATTAAACGAAATATGCCTAATTATAAATACGATTTACTGCTCTTATGTTTTTATTAGATAGTATACAGACATTTTAGTATATCTGTATAGAATCTGATATTGATCTTTTACTAATTTTTCAAGCACATTCGAAGTGCTTTTGGGAATTAATTGGGATAACTGTTGTGATAGCTTTAATTTTATTTGCTGAATGTTTAAATATGGAAACATTTAATGAAAAATAAACTAAATTTAATTTTTTACAGGCCTTCCTGATAAGAAGTTATATCCAACTATATCAGCTGTTTACGGAAACACGGAAGTATCCATGGTTTATCTTGGACCACCACTCGATGGATAAGTTTAACCAAAAAAATGTGGATAGTAATTTATTCTGATAATAAGACGTATATCTACAATCAATGATAGAAATGAAATTACCCACAAAATCGGAGCTACTAGCTCTTCCAATTTAACACCAGCTTTATCCAAATTAATCCTTTGAAGTATTATATAATAGTTCAAAATGCGCAAAATAATATTCATACAATTTTAATATATTTTTCATATAGTGATTTAAGTCAATCTTATGAGGACTAAAATGTTCTGTAATGGAATATGTGGCGCATCAATACTGTTTGGATTTAGCTTCACATTTTTTTTACACATTTAATACTCGTTTTTAAAACTAACAGTAACGTGCAAATATTTTTTAGAGATTGTTTCAAAGCATTTACATTTAAATTTTAACTTAATTTTTGTTTTTTCTTTTTGTAAAGGTGCTAGTCTAGTTTTTGTTAAGTTAGTTGTAAAGATAAGGCTTGTTTTATGTTTTGTGATATAATTAATGTTTAATTTTGTTAAGTTCCCCAATCCTAAATATTAAAATATATAATTTTTGTTCATTAACATAATACCAATCTAATAAATAAAAAATTACACATTTTAAACGTATTGGTTTCTTGATTTTTGGCTTTTATTACTAAAATCTTATTTATTTATTTCCATTCATGGGCAAAGTCACCTCACTGTCATCGAACAAATCTCCAAAATCATTATAGAAATCAGCGTGCACTTGCTTGTCGTTTGTTGCTATATCCATTAACATAACGGCTGCTGTGCCGGACTGAAAACATATTATTAAAATATATTACTAAATGTAATAACGTCAATACATATCTTTAAAGTTTAAATATAATTATTACTAATAAGTAATATGGGTTTGGCACAACTTCACCTGATCACATAAGACATACCACAAATCAGGATGAACAGACACTTTATTTGTGTTTAAAGCAATTAACATTACTTGTGTAAATAAAATATATGAATACAACAAAAAAAATTGTGCAGAAACAACTCTATATATCTTAACTTGGATTTACATTTAAAAGAAATATGTTCCTTGCCAAATTGAGGATATAGTGGACAACTGCGTCGACTGCGTAAAGTAATACGATTGTACACACACAATAATTAGGACGGGATCTATCTATTTAAATTCACTTTGTTTATTTTTATATATATAGCATGTACATTATTTAATAGCTGTAGGAAAATAAAAAATAATAGGTTTTTTGAATAGTAGTAAAACAATTTTTAATTTGTTTTTTAAATAATTGCATCTTCGGCTGACCAGCTGTTTGCTTTTAAAAAAATAGACCCTGTTAAAAAAATTGTAAGTCTTATCATAATTGACTACAAAAATCATATTAAATATAAAATAATAATTGTTGTTTTTAAATAAACAGACCTACAGAAATTTTTATAAAAATTATGTTTTTTATTGACTTACATCTTCCAGGTCTATAAACCCGCCCTCAGGGAACATTTCATCCGCAGCTACTGGTTTCATGTCCTTAATTGAAGAATCCATTGTTAAGATTTCTTAATTTAATTGGAGAATATTTGTTGACAGGCTCTTTTTAATGAAAATTTATAAGTAGCTGTTAAAAATTTTGTTTACTATGTTTTTAATAATCATTACTGAAAATAAAATAAACTTCAAAACAGTGTTGTAAACATGAAAAATATTTTTATGTAAGAAAATAGTAAATATATTAAAAAAAGTGTTTTTCAAAAAAAAAACTTGCATTTTCAATTTTAGAATTTTTTCTTTATTGTATTATAGTATTTTTGCACTGTCTCATTTAGGCACTTGTTCATTTATATTAATGAATGATTCACACTATAATGAGCTCATCTATGCAGCTGATAAAACTTTAATAAACTTCACTTAATAATATATTATACAAAAAAATTATACATATAATTGATATATTAAATAATTTATATACAGTTTATATACAGTATACCAATTACACATACAATTAATAAAAATAAAGATTTTATTAAATACTTACTTTCTCAGTGCCTTTGTTTGCAGCTCAGCTGTTGTTTGTTTACATTCTACATATAAAATTTATGACACATACTTCAAATTTTTCTAATTTCCCTTGTGGGAAATATATTTTTAAAGATTTCATCCGAAATTTTTCGCCTTAAATGAACTAATTTATTGATAATGAGCTATCCTCATTAGTTGCTATAATGAGCAAAACCTCCTAAATGAGAGAGTGTGAATGTGCTATTACTCTTTAAATTTATGAGAGTAATATCATAGTACAGCAGCTTATATTTATTTCTTAATAATGATGTAGAACATTTGACATTTAAGTTTGCAAACGATTTTCGAATTACACAAATCGTCGAGTAGTAGAAGCAGTGATAATAAAGGTATTTATCGAAAACTACTTTACTTTGTTATTTTTATTAAACGATTTTACTTTAATTATGTTTTACTTGCAAAGTATATGAACAGTTTTCATATATAAATGAATGTTGTTATTCTTTGCTTTATAGGAACACAGTATAATACTAGTATGAGTGTAACTATTATATTAATTTTAAGGGTTATATTACGTAGACGATTAAATTACCGTTGTTGTTGCTTTCAATGTAATTTAAAAAAACTGAAGGGTACGCAGGGTAAGGTATTTTTCAAATAAATGTAACTACATGAAAAGAAGCCGCGGCTGTGGTTGCAAAGATAAAATGTGCTCTTAAAAATGGATATCATATTTCTATCTATCAATATGGTGAATTACTTTTGCTTTTTCTCTATGTTCGCTTAAACTTATTTATTATATTAAATTTATTTATATATGAAATAACGGCGCTTTAACAAATAAGTTAAATATTCTTAATTAAAATTTACAACAGCGACAGCTGCAGTAGCATATTTTGTTGCTTTTAAACTTATTTATCATCTGACTATGAATAAAAGTTCTAGAAAAATTGACAGTTTTGTTTTGTATTTATTTTCACAATAAACATAACTTATTACCGGCACCATACTGATAAGATTACAGATGTTTTGACGTGTACTTACTTCAGCTTTGCTTAATTTAATAATAAGTGAGATAAACAAAATTTAATTTTGTATAAATAGACACATTCAAAACCGATGATATATTAAAGTTAAAGCGTTATTTGATTACAGTGAAACATAGTGAATAGTACAGAATCAGAAGAAGAAGAACATAGGGAGACTTTGGTGAATATTTAATAAACATACATTAGAAACAAAAATGGTGCGAGTTGGCCTACAAGTATCTGCAAATCTTGAAAATATCGATGAGTTACAGACGAATCATCCAAATTATGCTTTTTTTGTAAAAGTGAAATGCTCCAATTGCGGAGAGGTATCAGAGAAATGGCATGACATCACTGAAGCCGAGCGTACTCAAGAAGACTCCCGGAACCCTGAAGGTTTTAATTTCTACATTAAATGTAAATTGTGTAGTCGTGGAAATTCAATTGATATTGTGGAAAAGTCTAATGGTAGTTAAAATTAGTTTGTTAAGCATTTTCATTTAATAATTTTAGATTTTATTAAGCAACTTACACTCAAGATGATTCTGGCACGTTTAAAACCATTGTAGTTTTTGATTGCCGAGGCGTGGAACCGATTGAATTTTCACCAAGATCCGGATGGATTGTTCGTGCTGCAGACAATGGTCAGCAGTTTGAAGATGTTGATCTTTCCGAAGATGACTGGGTAGAATACGATCAAAAAAATAAGAACTCGATCGGAGTTTATGAATTTGCTTCAAAATTTATTAAATTGAAGAAATAGTTATGTTGCTTCAAAACAGAAATGCTGAGTTTGTTTCAGTGTCTAAGATATTGCATTTTGTTGTTTTAAAATCAAGACGCCATATGTTACTGACCGAATAATGCTTTTCAAAGTAAGTTCACTTAACTAGCATCAGTGTATTGATTTTGGTCGAAATCTATATATGTTCAGCATATTGTGTAAATAAATTTTGAATATTTTGTACATAAATTGGTTTTTTGAATAATGGTTACTTTTAATTAACTCTAAAATTTACTATATACCTAATAGAAGTCAAAGAAAAATCTCAATGTTATTGTTGATGTTTTAAGCCTTGTTCTAGAACTTACAGGACAAACCCTATGGGGACAAACTACTTGAGAGGATTAAGCTGCATTCGGTCGTTTTACACAAGTGTATTTTATTTATACTTGAAATTGCATAGCCATTTCTGAATATATAAATTTAATATAGACTATAGATCAACAAATATTTAAAAAAAACTATATATTGTGTTATAAAGTAATAAGTTACTGAAGTGGTTAGGTTTAGTGAGATTTTGTCAATAAAAAAAATTAATAAATGGTTTGGTTTTTTTTTTTGTGGTGCAAATCCAAAAATTTTTTTGGTGCTTAGTTTGATTAAAAAGTCGAAGCTTACCGTTCTGAATCGGTTCTCAGTCCTAATTTATATTCTTATACGATATAAAAAAACTAATATTTACTTCACATTACACAAGTTAATGTTCATTAACTGTTTAACTTGTCGTTTTCAAACTCTCTTACATCTCTCTAGCACGATTAGGTAAAAATAAGCCCATAACATTTTTGTTTAGTGCTCAGTGCTAGTATAGTAGACTTCAGGGTGCACTTCAGATTTCTTCTGTAAGAACCGTGAAGCCTGTAGTGTGATGGTGATTTCCTATAAAGATTTTAATCACTGTATTGTGTTGTAACACTGTATCGCCAAAAGGCGTGATGATATATGTATAATATTATATTATATACCTCAGCGCAAAGAACTAAGTGGTTTAAATATCACATAATCATATTCTACTAAAGTAACTTGATGTAGATTTAACTAAATTATTTTTAAATCTATTTGTCATAATTGTTAATTGATATTATCATGATAATTAATTACACATATATTCATTATCACACTCGACGTAAATACAATTTATTTATTTTAAATTTAATATTGGTATTATTCAAAGAACCAGCAAAATATTTGATAATGAAATATATTTTATTTTAACTTTCTGAATGGTTGTTCCTTGTAAGGGAGATTTTAATATGTAATACATACAAATTGCTTATTGACAATACAATAAACACTTTTAAAAATACATATATATTTAAAAAAATAATTTTAATATTTTTGATATACATTTTATGCCAAACATTTAGTATGATTTACTCAATTTAACAAGTATATGGACTTAACATATTTTTAACAATATAAAAAGAGATGAATTAACCAAGTTAATTATATTTTAAAATGTAACACTTTAAAATTGACATCACTGGGTACGTTCAAAATTATTTTTAATAAATCTGATTCCCACATAATGTTTATTTTCTTTAAGCTAAGCGTTATAATACGAAATAAAGCGTATCAGATGTTATTATATTTGGAAAAGCAAATATTTAAGAAGTGGTAAATAGTAAAATAATTTTTTTAATGTAAAAAGTTATTACTTAAAATAAGGTTTACAAAGGTTAAAGCTAGTGGTTGAGAAAAAATATATGCATTACACCAAACTAGTAACCGCAAATATATCATTCACAATCATATATTTTTTACTAAACTACCGTGAAGATTAGTAACTTACGATTTAATTAAATTATAGTTATAACTTAATTACATCAATAAAAATAAAGTTTTCTGAACACGTAAGTCTTGCGTTAATTGATCATTCATAAAAATGTATTTTACACTAAAAAGTCTTAAGATAGCATATTCTGAAGATTAATAAACTACTTAAATTCAATGTCAGTTTTGGATAGTGATTAAAATTATTATTTATAAAACTTTATAAAACTAATTAGTCATAAATGTTAATTGTTTTTATCAGTCACAATGGGAAAACGAACGACTCTAATCTCGTTACCGTAGTCACAGACTACAGAATCATAAGCTAGCATCATAATTTTTGGGCATAGTTGCTGATTTGAACAGTCTAATTTGACTTCTCTTGCTGGTTCACCTGTACGTACATCCCAGACTATGAGTGATCCTGCAATTACGTCAAAAATGTTAAATTCAATCAAAGAATATATATCCAGTGTGCTTACCCAATTTGCTAGTGACTAATAGTGAAGGTGTAAGCATTAGTAAACTAGAATATGCATTCGATATATTTATTGTGGTTAATAGATTTCCTTGAAATCTTTCCCACACACATATCCGCTCGTCTGTACCAAGCGATATAACATAACTTGGTGCGCATGCAAGGCAGCAAACAGCTCCATCATGCGCTTGTATATTATACATGCAGGCACCTGTGAATAGGTCCCACACGCAAAGTTGACCATCTTGAGAACCGGATCCACCGGTGCCAGATTGCCAACGATCTACAAAAAGGCACGTTATTGGCCCACAATGACCATGTAGAGTATACTCCATATCGCAATTATTCAGACTATATACCTGAAAATCGTAGTCAATATTAAATTAAATTTAACATACTGTTACTATTAAATAAATTCTAAATTCTTACTTTTAATGTATGATCCTGGCTACCGGTAAATATCATACCATTCACTATTTCCATACATGTTATGGGTTGCTGATGCGCTAAACGTACTCCTTCCAGTGTACACTTCATTTCTTCTTTAGTTGTTTTTTGTGCATCTATGTTACGTTGCTGTTGCATTAGTCCAATACTGCCAGTGGATCCTGTACGAATATGAGCTTAAAGTAAACAAAACAAAAAAAAAACAAATTGAAAATTTAATATAAAAACTATTAAAAGTGATTTAACTATATACTAAATAGCATTTGATAATTTAAAATAGAAATAATCTATATATAAATCAATATATATTGGTAACATTCTTTCGAGTTGATGTTCTATTTTGGTTTTTTCTTCTTAATACTTACTTCTTCTATATGCTGATGTGAATCCCCAATCAATCTGTTTTCCTTTATAATACGTTTCTAAGCGGTAAAAATCCAAACGACCGCATAAGCGTGCTACTATTAATCGATCACCATTTATGTGTATATGAGTAACGCCTTGATTTCGTTTTGAATCTTCATGGTAAACACACTGTAAGCCATTTTTAATATAAAAAAATGTATTCATTCAATTAAATTAATGTATTACAAAGACTTTGATTACCTTCAAAAGACCAGCTGGTGTTTCCCAAAGTTCTATACGTCCATTAGCACAACCAACCGCAATTAAATTGTCAAAATAATCCAAACACCAAATCGGTGAGGGACTAAGTTTGCGTACCAATACTTGACCATCCTCTCGATGTGTTGCAATTTGCATATCTGATCTGTTAATTGTGGTTAAGTTTTCTCCACTTCGTGCATCCCATATCTTGATTTGTCCCTTAAGACAGCAACTAATAATATTAGAGCCATCGGATACAAGACACTCAATGCGATGTTTGTGTCCTATAATTTGTATAGGTTTACCTTCGAGTATCTGTTCCGTTTTCTGCACGAATTCCGAAGACTCATTCCAACTTGACCGCCACTCTGCATAGTTACGTGTGCAGATACAACGGTAAAAAACTACCATGGTATAGCAAAGTACAAATATACTTATGCAACACAGCATAATTGCGAAAAATATTTCCATAGGGCTTTTAGGAAACAACGGAGTGCCACCAGGTGTGACCATTGGAGACTCGCGATTTTCATCATCATTAAAGTCCAGAGGATCTAAAGCAGCTGCTAAAGCTTTCCATTGAAAGTTTTGTACTAATTTCTCATCAGGATTTCGTATAATGATTGCTGCTTCTGGTTTTATAGCATGTGAAAGTTTAATTGTAGGTAATATTGTAACATAGCGACCACTCAATGATATATTGTATTGTTTCATAATTGTGGACCAATGAAAATTTGAGAGAAAATAATTAAGCTCAAAATCAGGATAAAGCAATCGTTTCATTTCGGCTTCCGTTTCATTTATTTGACCATTATCTGAACCTTAAGTGAAAAGAAAAAATTACTATCTAATTAGTGATAAATATATATCATCAATATTTACCATCATGTGCAGCATATTGTGGTCCACCAAATACACTGCCAAATCGGTCGTGATCATAAGCATTAGTGTGTAACCCGCCATTTGACGAGGAGCCAGCGGCTGAATGTATAGCGTGTTGCACATTAGAAAAAAAACTAGACACTGCACCTCGACCAGCCTCCATATGACGATGTAAGTCGTCAGCTGCGAAAGTAGTGCGATTTGTATCCACAACAAAAAGATTTTCCAAGTATCCTGAATTGTAAACTATAGAACAAATCCATACGCTCATCCAAACCATAAAAGCGCGCTGGAAGAATCGAGTACGTGCCCAGAAATTAACCAATCTTAAACGTTTAGGTATACGATCTTGAGATGTATTAGCATTTAGTGCTATAGAAGCACGTTTTGTCATCTCATTATTAACGCCATGAGAATTTAAATCTGCAAATGACAATTTCGGATGCGATTGTGAGCGATGAAAGACTGGTGGTCCATTGAAAAGCGGAGGTGAATAACTACCGTTTAAAGAGTTTGCACCAGTAGAGGGTGACGATGTACCAAAGAAACGAAACTCCGTTCGGCCATTACGAGTTAAATTATTATAGCCATTACTATTACTTGTGGTTGTTGTATAGCTCAGCATCATTTTAGGGAGTTGCTTAGCTTCAATTGTGTATTCCGTACGTTTGATGTTCATTGCCAATATAGTTGAGAACAACAGCATTTGCAACATAAAATCCGAAAGCAAACCCACAATAGCAAAAACGCAAAACTCTTGAATGACAGGCACGAATGTTGCTAAACCAATCGTGAGAATAGTTATTTCTGTCATAAGAGTTTTTGAAATATGCCAACCTTCTTTGCTCAGTGCTTGTGCCACTCGTATCTTAACATCAAATGTTTCATCAGTTGACACAACGCTCTTGGTTATGACTAAACAATTTTCCAAACCCACCAAAACAACCAGGTATGGAAATATGTCTTTTGATTGCAGACTTATAGTCAAACCAAAAAAGAAGCATAAACCGAGAGACATTACAAGACTACCCAAAACGGTTACTACTGAGCAAAGAGCAAGCACCATCCGAGAGCGTATCACATCGATTTTGCGTACCGAAAAATAAATATAAGTGAAGAGTAATACAAACGCTATAGAGAGCGGTAAAAATTCTCGTATTTTAAATTCTCCGGGATAGAAAATATATGTAATGGAAGATTTCTCTTCACGTTGGTGTTGGTGCGCCGACGAATGCTGCTCACTATTGCTATTTGTTGTCGATGATACAATTGGTGGGGGATACCGATGCAATAACGTATCTTTCAGGCTTTTTAGATACTCCTTATCATTTTGTTTTAGAATCAACGTGATTGCATATTGAATTATACGTGATCGCGATCTGAGGGGATAACGTTTAAAACCTGTATCTTGCATTGGAAGTCCAAGCAACATTTCCGCTGTGGAAACCTTTGTTTTTTGTAAATTCTACAAAATAAAGATATATACAATTTTGTAATAGAGTAGAAAAAAAATGCTTTTGAAAAGCTATATATATATATATAAGACAATCACTAAAAAATAACGACAAAAGCGCGTTTTGACAACATAAACATAAACAATTGGTTGGTTTTTTGATTTATGAATACGTTAATTATATTTTACACATATATGAACTATTAGAAATAATAATAAATACATCCGGGTCCACAGCATTTATTTAAGTATTAGTGATCGTTAATATAGATGGATGTATGTATATTGTATTAATAATCTGCACAAGTTGACTTGAAAGGTCGCTTATTAGTAAGACTAAGAAATCGAGCTGTTTATCTCACCTAACCTACGATATAACAGACTATAACAGATTAATGATGCCTCTTTAAACTTTTGCAGAGTAAAGATTGAGAGCGAGATTTCACGTTACTGAACACGTAGTTTGCACTTTGCACTTGTAATCAGTGACTGATAACATAGATAAGCGCTTTAGGTTAAAATATTTTTAGGAAATAAATATAAACAAAAAATTATTAAAGTTCAAGTTTAATAATGATAAGAAAATTAAAAATCTTTTGATAATTTATAGCAATTCAATAATAACATTTACAAAAATTTATTATCAGACTATTTGAATAAATGACTAAATGAGTAACTACTAACTGCTGAAAACTGATTGACTAAAGTAAAAATCCATTAAAATGGTAAAAAGTGTGAATTAAACAATTTGTTCCAGCTACAGTGGATTGTTAAGTTTTTATTGTTTCAAATAAAAACACATTTTAATGTCCATGAAATGAATTATAAAAATATTAAGTTTATTTTAATTAAATTGAAAATGTGACGAAAAACTGTTTTATACGGTTTAGAAATTAAAGACATTGAGTTTTTAAATGGAGACCTAATCGTCACCTGCTCAGTATTTCAGATGGGAATAGGAATGTCCGGCATAGTATTTTTACCATGTCCAGATGAATACAGATACTCGCTACAGATAGATGCACCTTGAAGTGGTGGTAACGCAGGCCATGGTGCAGACCATGGTCTGTTCTACAGAAATGGAATGCCATAATATATTTGTAAAGACGATCGAGCTATTTAGGTTGTGAGTTTTATTTTATTTCAAAGTACAGAACATCACTTTGCAAGTCGCCAACTCAGCCTAAATTAAATGGGCTATGTTAGGTGAATGAACATAATAAAGAAACGATTTTTATAATTGTATGTTCACAAATTCTTTTTTTTATAGAATGAAATTATGATTGTAACATTCTTAGTTAAAAAAACAGTCATTTCATGAAACGATACACACCTATGTATATTTGTTGTTTCAATAAAGTTTATTCCCAGAAAAGATGAAAATTATTGTTTAGAATTTTTTTGATTTCTTCGATTCAAGTCCTGTGTTCTGAATATGTTTCTACACCTATATGTTTCTATGATAGGAAGTTAATCAGTGATACTAATGTTTCGTATAATATATACATTTTTATCATTCTGTCAAAAACAAGGCATTAAGTCAAATTAAGTCATTCATTAGAATACTGAAACTGATTTTCGTTTAAAAAATGTGGTTGTAGCTATTTGTGTGGTGTTTTGGTATAATTAACCATCCATGGACTTCTGATATATTGACAATAATTAAAGTTAAGATATTTATTTATGAGATCAACGCTACTAAATGGTTTATTAAATTTTAAACCATAGAACACACGAACTAATGGTAATTACTAACTCAGAGGTTACTCAGAGTATAAACTCTATTAAATTATAAATAGAAACATAGAAACATGATTCATTTGCATTTATTTCTTATGTTTTTTTATTTCTATTACGATTATAATTGACTTTTATTGAAATATAGTTATATATTAATTCTATCACAGTAAGTTTTACTTGACATAAAATAACACAAAGATAAAATTGATCTGGCTGGTTCTAAGCCACAACTAAATCTATTGGTCCGTAGAGATATTAGATGAAGGAACAGCTATTTATTAATTTGTAGTAGAAATAAGTTGCGAGTCTGGTGTTTGTTTGAAATTCTGTTCCATACATGTTCTTTGATATTACAAATTATGGAATACATATACATTTTAGAAGTGTCCAGGAAGACGTGGAACATAAACTTAAAATATTTAAATAACCCCAACTAATTTAATTAAATCCTTAATTAATTTTAATATTAGAAATCTCTATATACAGATATTTTCCACATATACTTTTTCATTTTTAATTCGGGTTTTTTGTGCAGTTAGTTAGCACTTTTTATTTTTTAATCTAATTTGTTTCTTGTTCTTTTTATGCTATTAACTGGCACTTGATTAATTAAGCTATACTGAGCACTGATTGCTTGCGTAAGTGAAGTGGTGGGGTTTACTTTATAATTGACATGAATTCAATTTAGTACTACATATGAGTTAAGTACAATATGTTAAGAATTTTCTATTATTATAAACTTGAATACTCATTTAATTTGTTGCACCATTTATAAGAAGTAATCGAATAATATATTTTAAGCTAGTACTCTTTAAATTATTATTAGAATTTATAGAACTAAAATTAAGAGCCACAATGTATTTATTAAAGCAATCCCATAATCTTCATTTTCTAGAATGTGTTTTATGATACTATAATCTATATTGACTAAGGTCAGGTTCGATTTATAAAAGCAACATTTTGCATCAATTAAATGAACGAATATATCAGAAAATCACAACGTAATTGCTTTTACAATTGAAAATCGCAGTACTTTATATATATATGTATACATATATATTGTATTACTCTTTACATAACATCAACGCAACTGCTTAAGTGCTATGTCAAATAAAAATATAAACAAGACTTTTGAAGAAAATAATGATCTTGGCTGGAACAAATACTGACATCATCGCACATCGCACATCGCACATATGAAGCATGATTTACGTTATTTGCAATGCACTACAAAGATTGCGATGCAGTATTAAATACATACAGATATTGTAAATAAGTTATATGGTATGGTAGGTATATTTATATATCTTACATGATATTGGAATATTGTATTCAATATGTTGGTGTCCCTGGTGAAATTGTGGACATTCTGTCCCCAAATGTTCGCTGGCGACAACACCAAGCAATTATACTCCGGAAATATTTGCTCATTCTGCACGCGTTTAACATTGTCGACATGTAAGCAAATTTTGTCAAGTGTACGTTTGCTGTAATTGAAATAAATTAAATGTTCATTAAAGATTATAAAAATACTTAAAAGAGTAATAACGAGATTACAATAAACGTACAAGTGGGCACATACTAATATAATGGGCTTAGGCTTAATAGATTATTTAAAATGTTGTAAGGAATACAATAACTTTTTTAAAAAGACTTACTTTTCTTCGCTTTCGTGATTTCGTACAATTTCAAGCAAACGAAAAACCTCGTAGAGTGGCGCACGAAACGCATCCATCAAATGCATATCTTCGGTCCACGGTAATACACTGGAACGTAGAGTTATCTGTTGGACGTATAGCATTGGCGAACTTTGCGTCCACGGCAAGGGTGGATCATAGCTAACATTGTTCACATTGAAAATATTTTTGACTACTGAAAAGTTTTTGTCACCTTCTCCAAAGAGCGAATATTTACCTTCAAAAGGTAATACGATTTTCGTTGGTATTGTGCCCGGTAATGGTATATTTATGAGGGGATAACTGAAATAGTGAAAAGTATATATTAAATGATATATGTTTTATATTTATATATATATAGAAAAAAAAAACAAATTTAATTTGTTTCAAGTTATTTTTGGGTTGATTAAATTGGTTCAAGATTTGACTGATTGTGGTGCATTTTTATTAAATATTGTTGGATGAACCAGTAAAAAAAAGGGGGTATTTTTTCAATAAAAAAATTTAATATTAAATTTAGTGAACACTTGAGCCGACCGTACAGCTGTTTCCACATACTTCGTCCCTTTTCTCCCTTAACCATTCTTTGTTCAAAAATAGGTTTCCTGTTATAGGAAATAAAAATTTGTTATTATTAATAGGAAAGATGTCATATTATTGGATCCAAAATACATTTTTGGTAAAAATAATTTTTTTTTTATTCTAGGGAAAAAAATCGATTTTATTTAAAGTTTTTAATTTAAAATCTATTATATCGTATATATATACAATATAATAACAAAATTTTAGATATGCCTATAGTTAAAAGTCTCAAACTACTATATTCGACTGATTTTGATGCAAGTTTTATGAAATCTGAACTAATTTTTTAGTTAAATATTTTGATCCGTCATTCTACTGCAGTACCTCACAAGGCACAAGCCATACACCAACAGTTGTTCATATTCATGTACATGTTTGTGAATAGTAAGCAAAGGAATAAATTTCGAATAGAATGCCTATGTCTAAAAGAGAGTGTTGGGCATGTTTAAGTAAACTGAAGCGAATAAAAGTGGGTTGTTAGGTTTGTGGCTTATTAAACATTTCTATTATTTACACAGAAATACAGTTAAGTGAACATAATAGACATTATGCTGCTAAAAGTAAATGTGAAATTGATATTGGATCATTTATGTTTTATTTAAAGTGTAAGTATATTATTTCAAAGATAATTAAACAAATTGTAGACGAGCTAGCCACACGGAACACCTAAACAATCTGGGCATATCGTTGACATCATGCAACCTGTCACTGAGTTGTTCCTGTGCCGAAGTCGCTCCAATAAAAAAAAATGAAACTCTCTTAATGAGATGCCCCGTAGAGATATCAGTCTTGTAGTAGGTTTACTTATAGGTCATGGTATTTTAGGTAACCACGCTAGGAGACTAAATCACCCTTTTAACCATACCTGTCGCAGTTGTGGTGAGCACGATGAAAGTGCCTCTCATCTGTTCTGTTTTTGTCCGGCATATGCGCGACGCCACCATAATACTTTAGGGGTTTCTTTCTTTCTTTTTTGAGACCTCCGTCTGAATAGCTTTGTCAAAGGTTTGACCTAAGTGGATACCTTGGAATCGCCGGTATAACCTGACCTAACCTAATTAAACAGTTTGCATTTTGAATGAAAAGATTTTACGGTTAAGATTTGAAGAAGTAGGATATTTCCTCTTGTTTTTCATGAAAAAAGAAATCAAGCTTATTCTTTTTCGTCAACTCGATAACCACGTGGAGAATACGTAGAGTAAACTAAACTTAAAATGAATCACAACATTATCGTTTGACTTACTACTGGAATAATCTGTGATATTTTAGGAACTACAATTTTGAGTGATTAAGAGAAACTAATTTTAATTTTTTTATACTAAAATAAACTACATACTATAAAAAGTGAAATTCCCCAAGTTTAAGTATAAAGAAATCAAAGTATAATTATTTGTATCTATATGTGTGTTTCCTATAAGTTAGCAACATGAAAGTGTGTAACATATGTTTGGTGTTATCGCACCTGTCAGTATGTTGCTTATCGGAGAGCTGCTGTGCTATGACCAGACAGATTAAAACTGTTGGCATTGAAAAATACAGTATATATGTATATAAAAAAACCTGAACACGTACTTTTTAAAAACTACATTATATTCTTCAATTTAATTGTGTGTGTGTGTGATTTCTACTCAATCAAATCAAACATATGCATTAATAATACGGAACGATAGACAATTATAAACAGTAGTCACAATTAGATACTCATTGTCACCTATGTTTTAGCTCAATGCACTCTGAAAAATAGTATATATTGTGCAAATTTATATAGAGTCACTTAGAGATTCTCGTCGTAAATTCTGCAATACGTTTAGAACACCATGTAGAACGCTTTTTAATCGCAGCTATTGACCGGCATATATGAACCCAGCGCAAATGGAAATAGGCATTGTCAGATAGTGGAGACTGATAATACTTATACTTTGAAGGAAATGCTTCGCACGGGAACGACGTTGCTAGACTTCACATTTGCAATTGTTGGGCTGCAATTGTAAATAAATCTAAGCGAATCGCTATTATTTGTATTTGTATTTGTATTTGTTTCACTATTATGTCAATACTATACTTTGAATAAATATTCAATGTTTACCTTACACAAATCAGATTAATGGAATTTTCAATAGAATTTTGAATTCGAAATATTACAGCGTTTTATGTGTGTGATTGCCAATTAAATACGTATTATAATCAAACTATTTATATATGTAGTAAGTAATAAAGTTAATTTGTACAGCATTTTAAAATATTTCTTATTTCAATTGATAAATTTTAATAAAAACAGGGCTACTTGCTGTAATTGATAATATCCGTACATTTTTTACTTTCAATATTTATCTATCAAGCAAGTTTCAACAAGTAAATATAAGATTTTAGCAAAAACTACACATAAGAAATATAAGAATTTAGATTATATTAGTAAGGTTAGGTAAGGTTAAGTAGGCGTGTGCGGATATAACTATCAGCACTTCCACTCGGAGACATCAATTGCACATTGTGATGCCTTTACAATTGCCTGGGAGAGCAAATATTAGTAAAGTATAACAGAGACTTTGATTTAGTGTTGTAACGGATGTCTACAACTGCATCCACAAATATGGTTTCCTCGTACATGATAATATGTCCAAACAATCCTCAAAAATGATACGAATTGATTCGTGAGACCCAGTAATTTCAACGGCTGCCTCTCTTAGACTTGAGCAAATATTTTTAAATACCATTACCTTTACTCAAGCGATGTTTCACTGGACAAATCTTTCACTACATTATGACCGCTTTTAAATCCATTGTACCACTTATACTCAAGCGCTTTCGGTGACGTCCGAAAGTCCACCGTAAACGTTCAGAAACATTTTTGCGCTTCTGAATACAATATTACGATATTCTATTACAAATCAATATATTTAATTTATATAATTCATTTGTACCTACGCATTCACATCCGCTGAAACTTGCTTATGGGTAAATTAACATTAAATTAATTCGATTTAATAATGTATTGCGATTAAAAGTAGTTTAGTGTTTAAAAAAAATTGTTTCTTTATTAAATTGTCATTATTTGATTGAGTCGAACGTAGATTAATTATAGAGTACATATGTAAATTATTTTGCCATTTAATTGATTCGATTTATTTTACTGTGTAGCCTACAGTAAATTAAATTATTCGCATTAAAAAAATAAAATAGTTTCGTGTTTACACTTAAATATTGTAAAATGCAAACTTTTGATAGTGTTAATAATTAAATAATATGTAATAACCTTTTTTTCATCAAATAATAGATTTAGATATCAAAAAGTTGAGAAAGTAAACGAAAATAAACTTAAGTTCAGTGACGTTGACATATTTGCCTTTCCGGTAATCTAAGAAAAGCAATTGCTTATTTTATACACCATATTTCCCTTGAATCATTTGAATCATACTTTAAAGACATAGATTTAGTTTATTTTTAATGTTAATATTTAGTTGCCGAGTAACATTACGAAAGATCAGCATTGTAGACGATATTGGAATCGTATAAATGAACAGATAAATGAGAGATCATGCTAAATGATTTAACGATGTTATAAAAATTTAATTACTTTAATTAATTATAAGGATACCTAATCTTGTCGCTTATAAATGACTTAACAAACACTTAACACTTAACAAATTTTAAAGAGAATGTGAAGACTGAAAGTATCGCCTATGTAGATGGTTAGCATGGAAGGCTATACTATAGTTTTATACACAAGTCAATGTACTAGTTGTTTAGATATAAGTCATAAGTCATTGGAAAATTAAGCTGTGTTATACAAAGTAACATTGAAAGCTACTCGTATATAGATTTACGGCACAGAACTATGAGGAACGACTAGCAACTTAAATATGGAGATCTTGCAAAAATAAATTAACTTTCTATATTCCATGTGTAAATAAAAAAATTCAATAACTTAGTAAGAATCATCGAAAAAATAAAATAATCTTACTAATATACTTGCTATTTGCTATTAGATACTACATGTAAAAGATAAAAATTAATTAGAATCCGCATTCTAGACAGGCTCTATCATAATAAAAACGATTTGCACGCTAACATATATAAAATAAGATCGATGTGTTTATCTTCAATTATGTAGATATTTAGGTATTATAGAAATGTAACTATAAAATTAAAAGTATAAACTAACTAGTATAACTAACTATTGTGAAATCAAATTTCTATTTATATGTATACTTTTTATAGTATTACTTCTGTTTACTATTTATTAATATTAATAGATTTCAATTTGATTGAATAAGGAGATATACGATGATATATACATTAAGACTGAAAAGTTTTCGGAAATTCTCATTTAAAATTCGCGCGCTGTATATTTTTCGATATTTTAAGTTTATGTAGTTTGGCAGCACTGTCCTTAATTACTATGCCAAAAATGAGCTCGATCTGTCAGACAGTTCGTTTACGGCAGCTGTTGAAACCAGTTCCCCTCAGTAGTGCGTTGCGAAATGTCTTCGACGGTCGTACGACCGTCCTGGAAGGCTTTGTACCACTCATAAACTTGAGTTTTCGATAAAACTGATTCCCCATAAGCCTTTTGTAGCATTCGCAACGATTCTGCACACGAAATTTCGTTCGAAACACAAAATTTGATGCAAACTCTTTGTTCAATATTTTTTTCCATTGTTTTTTTCGCAACGCCCTACTGAGGTGAACTGGTTTCAACAGCTGCCGTAAACGAACTGTCT